TGAGCTTATAATATTATTAAATTGTAATTGTAAAATATTAAATGTAAAATATATTTATTAAATTGTAATTGTAAAATATTAAATGTAAAATATATTTGAAATATATATAATATATATAATAAACATCAATTTATACAAAATAGGCCTAAATAAAATTAGGCTAGTTCAGGAAAAAGCAACTTTCAGAAACCTCAACCATATTAAAACGCATGATAGGCATTATGTACCGAAAACAATAATAATCGTGCGACGGATGAATGGAAAAGACAGTAATAAACCCAAAATAAAATTGATTGCTATTTTGTCTTCATTTCTTCTCAATGGATCTGATAGCTTCTTTCAGAGTTGCCTATTTTTTTTTATATTCTTTTAAATAGTATACCTCTCTTCATCACTAACATTTTATTTTTCTTTTGTGAAATTTCCTTTGAAAGTGACTCTTAAATACCGCTTTTAGGAGATGAATCAAGTGCCCATTGGTACCTTCTTAATATAAGTATTCTGCCAAGTATGAATTATTTAATTTCAATAAGCAAACCTACTTTTAAAAAAGTAGCTAAAATTAGGCCCTGGATAATCAGAAGTATGCTAAATAGACTACCCTCCTGGTCTTGGAAGGTGGTTTAAAATGAATAAATAAATAAATTGTCTGCGGAGAACATCAATTATTCATGATCCATTGTCACTGACTTCTATAATCTACAATACCGTATGGCTATATTGCAGAACATAAAATCTCCGTGGTATCTTGGCTGGATGAAAATGGTTATATTAAGCAATAATGAATCTATAAATAGGTATCTTAAACTTTATAATATAAGTATTATTAATAATATTGACAGAAATATATGCTTAATATAAAAATTATAATCGTAATATAAGTACAAGTCATTGCTACATCTCGTAGTGTGATGTGTAGGTTGCACTGGCAGCAGCATAAAAAGTCATGGCAGAGGCAGATTTTACTGTGAATTTGTCTGATGAAATCGAAGAGTGAGTGTTGCTGGTTTCTTACAATACCTGTATCATCATTCTGGAGGATACCAAATATTTCAAGTCCAAGATATATTTTACTTCATATAGAATGGCATTGTGCTTTGAATTTGTGTAGCTTATAAGCTGCAATTCTGGAGAATTTCCTCAGATAAGATAGTACAATACATGCTCCAAGTATCGAAATGCACGCCATCGTGTCGGGACTAAATATTTCGACATTAAGTATGTCATCATCAGGAATATTCGTATCGTATTTAGCTTTTGTTTTATCTCGTATGCATATATTTCAAACAGTATGAGGTTTTAGTCTAATAAATATTATTGTTTTCCTATGTAAATCAGTGTGTTGTTTATCTGGAGATTCATGTCTTATTAGTTTATTTTTTTAAATATTATATTATTTGAACATTCCAAAAAAATGTACAGACTAATAATAATTAGTTACAACATTCTGTACGTTAAAACTCTTATTTCTGATTGGTTAAATATTATTCAGTATAAAGTTACCATTTATACCACAGTTCAAATACATTATAACAACATAATTTAGTGAGAAATATACTTCCTATATTGTACCATATGAAATATATTATGAAATATATTATTGTGTTTATTTGTAGGCGATACAGGCGGCATATTTCAACATCGGAAGATAAGAATCAAACCAAAGAAGCAGATAAAACAAAGGGTGAGTTTTCGATTTTACATAAGCCGCATCTTCTCTAAGTTTTCCCACGCTAATATCCCCTTTATTTCCCCTCTTTCTTCCTCTTTTTATATAGTACCTTTTATAGATTAATAGTAACAACACGTGCCTTCTTACAATAACATGTGACTAGGCAGACAGTACTTTGTGTAAATTAGTAAATTATTCCATTAATTCGATTTACATGAACTTTTTGTAACACTTTCTTAATCAGATCAGATGTATAATTTATCTTATATGTATATTTAAAAATAATATAGGCATACTGTATACTTTATATATACATACATATATATATGCAGTGTGTGTGTGTGCGTGTGTGAGACGCGGTCCCGGTGAAGTTTTTTTTTCGTTCCGGATTCCTCTTCTGTTACGTTTAATTAGTGATAATAATTACGGTGTCATGAAACTATAACCGGCTTGTAATTGTGGGGTTTTTTTTTTATACTATTATACTGTCTTCGTAGCAAATGTGATTAAAGTATGACCCCATGCAGCTACGTCGATTGCCTTATCTTGTATTGAAATTTTTTATTTTTTACTTTCTTTTACCGTGTCTATCATCAAAACTTCATTTGCAGCCTTTGTGAGAATAACAATAAAGTAATATATCGTATTGTAGGCAATGTAGACCTACGTCACGGAGCAGAAAATAATATGCTGGCCTATGTTTAATTAGTTTATTTTCTGGCAATATTAGATGTTATAATGATGCAATGTTGGTAATAATATGCATAAACACAAAGAGTATCTGTGGGCCTAGAGTGCACTCAGTAGAACTTAATTTGCAGTAAAGCCTACCCATCGTCAACCAATAATTAGTAAACTATGTAGTAAACAACATAGGCCCAGTTATCTATTACCTTTTCTATTTGTGTTCTAGTATTGGAAGACAGACGGGAGAAAAGGAAAGACAGAGACCGAGCATGGCGGGATAAAACCGTAGCGACCAAGAAAAATAACGATGCACAAATTAGTAAGTACGGCAAACTAGTGAGTACGGGCGCACGACGCACTATGTGTGGTGCGCGTTCTTAGCTTGCTTGCTTGCTTCTCAGGCATCAACATTAAGAAATCTTGAATATTTATAGGCTACATACTGCAAAACTGAAATAGACGATTAAGCGATGGTTTAGTCAGTTGAGATATATTTGGCAAAAGATGAACTACAAAAGCTACAAAATGAAACGGAAGCCCGATTAAAAATATTAAAAGTAGCAAAAACTCGGTATTTGGTGTATAATTCCAATTAAATCTTTCTTGCTTTTAAGTTCAAATGTCATTGGTTGTCAATATTCTTCAAAATGGCATTATAATATGCAGAAATATATTTTTCAACAGGTGAACAAGTGCAGCAGGAGTTGCACGGCTTCCAGGACGAAATAGTTCAGTTAAAATGGCAGGCTGACCAACAAGTAGAGCAGAACTTTATGATAGGCACAGCGCCTCCTAGAGTAGTTGTAAGTTTCTAATTGCCTAGAACCATACGAAGTATTTCATACCGGTATTGGTATTCATTTTGTAATGTAGCCAATGGCTACAAGTTGTTTTTATATGATTTTAAACATTAATGTTTGCATACTTAACAAAACTATTTTTTTGTATTTTAGTTTATATCTTCAAAAATTGGCAAATCAGAACTTCTAGCCGATGCAGCTCACGATCAGCCTAACATCATGGTAATTCCATATGTAAGTAGGCCTATTTGTAGAATTCTTGAGATAAAAAAAAATATAAAGCAGCAAACTTAACATAAATTGATACCATAATTTTATATTTAAACGTAATGAACTTACATATTCTTCAAAGCTTTTAACAGTCATTACTGTAAAAGTGAATCAAAATATTGTTTTTTAAATAATTTCATCTGTTTATATAATTGGTAAATTTTACAAGAAAAAAACAGTGTGTTTGTGTACTTAAAATCACACATTTTCTCTTCATAGAATTTTGAAAGAGATACATTCGAAGAATTAATTGGTAAGTACCGGTATTTGTACATTATAAGCATATTGAAGCTGTCAAAAATGCTTTAGATATTACGAAACCAGTATATATTGTAGTAGAAAATTAACGAATAGTTCTACCTTTGCATTTTACGACAACTAGTTCCATATGTTCGTGTTATGTTGCTGAAAAGTTAAATGACTTACTTTGTATATATAGGCCTAAATATTAACCTATCATTATTATTATTATTATTATTATTATTATTATTATTATTATTATTATTATTATTATTATTATATATTAATAAAGGTTATTAACTTTCAATTTATAATTTGAGGCATAAATACAGCATTACCTCAGTAATAAAATTGTTTTAAATCATGAATTGTTTTGTGTCTCATTGGTTTGAAAACTTGTTTGATCCTTTCAAAATGCAATTCAATTTTGTTAAATACATTTTAGGTTCATTTTATCAGAGATTTCAACCTCATTCCTTGCAGATAATATGAGGTCAAAGTTAAACGCATACAAGCACGGCTGTCGAGCACAATCTGTGTGTTTTTACTGTCAAGGCGGGCCAGGATTCCTTTACATAGTAAAAGGAAAAGTCCTAACAGTTGTCAAAATTAAGAAACCTAGCGAAAAAGATCAGCGAAAGTAAGTTATAATTAAGCACATTTTTTATGAAATACTGGTACATGTAGTACGAGTTTTGCATCAGTTTTGAACATATCTGTCTGCAATACACTGAAATAAACATTCAAATGAAACCTCTAATAGAGTTTTTGGAAACATCCTCCTCCACAAAACACATTGCGTTCCATTACATAATCCAGGTTATTGAACATTGAAGCACATCGGCTCTCGGTTTGTACCTCAAAAGGACCTATTGTGGGTAACACATTCATCATTATTGATTGCACTTGTATATTGCTGTCTTGGTTGTTGTTTCTTTGCAGATTTTGGGTTTCGATCGGTGATATGATGTCAAAGGTTGATCCAGAGACCACAGTAATACACGTGATGGGATGTCATGTACTGGGCAAGGAGAATGGCCAAGAAGTAAGTTCCATTCAGAACTCCACATCGTCTGCGTTGAACATGAATAGTTGGTGAAATTCATTGACAGGATGAGTGGACTGCTTGGCAAATGTTGGGTTGTTAGACCTACTTACAGAAAATTATTACATATTATAAGTCAACATTTTTTCAGTATTGCCAATCCAGTACAGGTCTACTTATATGTAGAATTACCATTGAATTATTCTTTGCAGTTGTTTGATCATATATCTACCATGATGAAACCAAATATCGTTCAACTAAAGTCTCCTCTAGAACTTTCGGAAGAAGGTAAGATTGTGGTACAAGATATATACAAACACAGACATCCCATACATACACTCATCCAATCTCCTGACACACAACCACACTCTCACACCCACGCGAATAGTCTCAAACGTACACCTCGGTTGTGACATTTTCGACAATACAATTTGATTAAATAATGTATTTCATCTTTTTAGGAAAAGCAACGATCGATCTCTACTTTGATAACGAGAAATATAAAGAGTGGAAACTACAGAGATATACAAAAACCGACTCGCTAATCAACAAGTACAAAGAAAGCTAGAGGAGTGACTTAAGATAAGTGCCACGGGTAGGCCTATACGACGGTGAAGTCACGTTTCAGATTTTATAGAAGTTTTAATACACGTTGATAATTGAAACTGCAGTTTCTAGTTTTTTGAATCATCAGCATCCGTGTGACAGCAACTGTACGAGTGGTTCTATAGTTTTGACTGACAGGTTGATTGGTAGCAATAAAACAAATATCAGTATATATATATATATATTATTATTCTCGCTGATGAAGGCCACAGGAGTGGCAGAAATATCCGAGTTTATAATAAATCAGTGTTCTTAAAGTCTACTACTGAAGTTGTTT